GCGCTGCCATCGTCGTCTGCGTTCGCTCGAGACAGCCTCACAATTAACTCAGCATCACACGACCTCACAATGAACTCAGCACCGCGAACCATGATGTTGGTGATGGTATGCCATGCAATGCTACGCTATGATGTGAATATCCCTCCCCGACCTCATCCTCCTCCGTTGCCGCCGCCGTTTAGGCCCGAGCGTTGCTTGGGTCGCGACAGTGCGCGACCAGCTGCAGCGCTCCACGCGCAGCAGCTACCAGCGCTCCGCGCGCAGCAGCGCCAGCTGCAGCAGCACCGCCAGTGCATCCAGCAGCTCCACGCGCAGCAGCACCAGCTGCAGCAGCGCCACCGGTGCAACCAGCAGCACCACCCGCAGCAGCACCACCAGTGCAACCAGCAGCACCATGGCGGACGAGACCGCGGTGACGCTGCTCCTGGAGGCGGCGGAGGATATCAACCAGTGGCGGCGCGCGGCGGCCGCGGTCTTGCAGCCCGCCAGCTTGGTGGCCCCTCGGCCGCCAACCACGCCGCCGACGGCGAAGGTCTTGGCGAAGTACGGTCGCTCGCGCGTGGCCGACAACTTGCTCGATGACATGGGCATGGCGCCCGCGCTGGATCCCGAGTTGAACTCGTTCCAGGGCCTGCAGGAGTTCATGGGCGACGGCGATGGCGACGACACGGGCTACGACTACGCCAGCTACGACGGTGGCAAGGGCATCACCGACGGTGGCAAGGGCTGCGGCGGCGGCAAAGGCAGCTCGAGCAAGGGCTTCGACAAGGGCCACGACGATGGCAAGGGCAGCGGCGAAGGCTACGACATCGACAAGGGCCGCGACAAAGGCTACCACGGTGACAGGGGCGACGTGGGCTACGACGGTGGCAAGGGCGACAAGGGCTACGACCGCCGCTACGACCCGTACAGCTCCAAGTGGTATGACCGCCACAGCTCGTGGCACGACCGCGACGGCGATGACTACGACAACAGGTGATGCGACCGCAAGCGCTGGGGCGACTACGATCTTGGCTCGAGCAAGGGCTACGACAACAGAGGCTACGACAGCTCGGGCTACGACAAGAGTGGCAACTACCAGCGTGGCTACGACAACCGTGGTTACAACAGCCGTGGCTACGACAACCGCGGATACGACAACAGTGGCTACGACAACCGTGGCTACGACAACTACGACAACAGTGGCTACGACAGCCGTGGCTACGACCGCAAGGGCGACAAGGGCTACGATCGCAAGGGCTACGACGTCGGCAAGGGCTACGACGGTGACACGGGCTACGGCGGTGATCCAAGCTACGACCGCGGCGATACAGGCTACGACAGTGGCAAGGGCATCGACAGTGGCAAGGGCTACGACGGCGGCAGGGGCGATAAAGGCCACGACGGCGGCAAGGGCTGGCGCGAGGAGAAGTCCCGCGGCGGGCGCCGCATCAGGCTGGCGAAGGCCCTTGCCACCAAGGAGCAGCTGGACGGGCTGCAGGACCTGATGTCGGACCGCGGCAAGGCCGACTGCATCAGGTGGAGCAAGCGGACGCACTGGCGCATCTGGGTGGAGGAAAACAATGCAGATCTAGTTCCATCGGGCCCCCTCATCCCTCCTCCTTCAACGGTTCTTACCAAGGACAAGGGGGAAGGATGAGGGCCAATAACTGGATATGGAATGCGTTCCTCCTCCCAACATCTGGGCGGAGGCGGCAGTTCGCCGCTGATCCGCAGCGCCAGGCACCACTACCAAAGCGGCGCCGAAGCCGCCGCTGTCGCCATTGCGCCTCGAGCGCCCGTGCCGCCACCAGCGCGGCAACAGGCGTCGAGTCCATTCAAGACCGCGCGCTGCATCTCCTCCGTCGGGCATGATATATTTTTGTGGGGGTTGTCGTATGTAAGGTTTTAACATACGACGCAGTTGTCGTATGTAAGATTCTAACATGCGATAAAGTTGTCGTATGTAAGATTCTGACATGCGACACCGTTGTCGTGTGTACGATTCTAACATACGACGAATGTGTTAATAGAATCCTTATGATATCTATAAGAGCGAGATGTCGTATGTACGATTCTTACATACGACAACGTTGTCGTATGTAAGGTTCTAACATACGACAGATTTGTCGCATGTAAGCTTCTGACATACGACAGATTTGTCGCATGTGAGATTCTGACATGCGACACCAAGGGTTTGAGCTCATGTTTAGAGTAAACTTCGAGGGTCTCCATCTCGCTCGTGGTCGACGTTGCGCCTAGAATTGGCTTGTCTGCTTGGCTGCGCTGCCCGCGGCTGCGCTGGATCATGTTGATAAGTGATGCATGAGCGTGGCGTGAGCGAGAATAAGGGGAAGTGGGATGAGAGGAGGATGCGCGGGAGAAGGAGGACAAGGAGAAGGAGAGGGGGGAGGATTCTGAGGAGGAGGTGGGGGGTGAGGAGGAGGAGGAGGAGGGGAAGGCCCATCCTCCCCCTCATCCTCATCCTCCCCCTCCTACCTTTATCCTCCTCCTCCTCCTCCTCCGCCGCCGCCTCCTCCTCCTCCTCCTTCTCCTCCGCCTCATCACCCTCCTCATCTTCCCCCACCTCCTCCTCCTCCTCTGCCTCCTCTTCCTCATCCTCATTCTCCTCCTCATCATCCTCATTCTCCTCATTCTTACTCCGTCTCATTCTCACCCTCTTCATTCTCATCATGTCTCCTCCTCGTTCCCGCCGTCGCCGTCGAAGCCGTCGCCTGCGCCGTCATCTGCGCGCGCGGCGCAGGAGAGGGCGGCGGCCACCGTGACGACCACGATTGAACGACAACGAGGATGAGGAGGAGTAGGAGGAGGAGCATGAGGAGGAGCAGGACAAGGAGCACGCGGAGGAAGAGGGGGACGATGGGGAGGAGGAGGAGGAGGAGGAGGGGGAAGAAGATGAGGAGGAGTAATTGCCATGGCGGCTGCGATAGCGACGGCGACGGCGAAGAGTTGGTGGCGACGAGTTGGCTGCGACGAGTTCGACGGCGGCGGAGACGACTGCGGGGGCGTCTCATCCTGCCCCTCCTCCTGCTCGCCCTCCCCCTTCTCCTCATCCTCGTCCTCCTTCTCCTCCTCCCTATCCCTCCTCACCATTCTCATCCCCATCATCCTCCTTCTCCGTCTCATTCACCTCCACCGCCTAACCCTCCTCATCCTATTCTTATTTCTCCTCGTCCTCATTCGTATTCGTATCCTCGGTCTCTCCGCAGGGTGCTTTATCGCGCGAAAAGCTGCAGCGAGAACCTGAAGGCTCGCATACATGCGTTTGCACGCACAACCCCAACGAGCCCCCATCTAAGTACGCCCCGACACCCACACTCAGGCGGCGTATTCACCGATGCCCAAGGCTTTGCGCCCCCGCGCACGATCGGCAGCACCTGCCTCCACAAGGCGATTATTCGCCCGATCAACCGCACCCTTACACCTCTTGGCGTCGTCCAAGAGCATCGTGAACGAATCCGCGGCCTGCTCCGCCTTCTTCACGAGCTTCTCCATCTTCTTGTATGCAGCGTCTGCCTTTCGAGTGGGCATGGACGGGGGTTCAGACGTGGCGTTGACACGCCGTTGCTAAGTGCGACCGTTCGCCCAACCGCTTGAGACCATGCGACCACAGTCGCAACGCCAAGCCATTACACAACCAATTTCACACCCTGACATCATGATAGTACATATCTGCGTGTCAACGCAACCGAACGCGCATGCATACGACTGCATTGGGCGCTGCCTCAACGCCCCCCCCCCCCCCCCCTAGTGTCACAAGTGCGCCCTTCGACGCGAACTACTCGCAGCCGATTGCAATGCGTTTCAACACAACCGAACATGCATACAACTGCATCGGGTGATGCCCAAACGTTTATGCTCTAATCAGCAAATATATTTCGACGTGAATGGATTGCAACCACTTGCAACATGTCATGCATGAGATACTGGCTGCCTTGCGGTCCGCCTTTTTGGACATCTTCTGGCAATGCTGCTTGTGCCTGATCAGGGTATCCAACCTTTCATTGAAGTGCTCCGTGTCCTCCTTGCGGTGCTTGGCACGCAGCGCCTTCAAGTCGGCTGACATGGCAGGCATAGTCGCGTACACACGCGCGCGCGCCGCAGCTTACAAGCTGCGTTCTCTCAGCCCTCAACCAACTCGGCTGCGTGAAAACGCATGTAGTCTGCGAC